TATGGTGTGTGTCTTAGTCATCTAGTGCTGCTCTAAAAGAAATACCACAAGTGGATGGATTTAGCAAAGAGAAGTTTATTCTCTCACAGTCCAGCAGGCTACAAGTCCAAAGTCAGGGCATCAGCTCCAGGGGAACGCTTTCTCCGTCGGCTCTGGAGGAAGGTCTGTGCCGTCAATATTGCTTTGGTCTGGGAGCTTCTCTGCGCAGGAACCTCAGGTCCAAAGGCCACGCTCTGCTCCCAGCACTGCTTTCTTGGTGGTTTGAGGTTCCCATGTGTCTCTGCTCGCTTCTGTCTTTCATATCTCAAAAGAGATTGGATTAGACACTATATAACTCGTATACCTCATCAGCATAACCTACCTCATCACAGTGATAGAATTTACAACACATAAGAAGATCACATATAACCTCATCATAGTGATAGAGTTTGCAACACGTAAGGAAATCACATCAGATTACACAATCATACAATACTGGGAATAATGACCTAGCCAAGTTGCTACACACATTTTTTGGAGGACACAATTCAATCCATGACAGTGTGAGATATGGATCTTGTTTTATTTTTCTGCAAATGGATATCCAGTTTTGCCAAGCACTATTTGTTAAAAAGACTTTCTCTTTCCTATTTAATAGATTTCAACCCTTTGTCGAAGATCAGCTGTCCATAGGTGGATGGATTACCTCTGGGTTCTCAATTCTGTTCTACTGGCCTATGTGTCTGTTGTCATACCAGTACCAGGCTGTTCTGACTACCGTGGCTGTGTAGTAGGTTCTGAGATCAGCGAGTGTGAGACCTCCTACTTTGTTTTTCTTCTTCAATAATGCTTTGCTTATCCAGGGCCTCTTTCCTTGCTATATAAAGTTGGTGATCAGTTTTTCCATCTCATTACAGAATGTTGGAATTTGGATCTGGATTGCAACATATTTGTAGATCGATTTGGGTAGTACTGACATTTTCACAATGTTATGTCTTCCTATCCATGAGCATGGTATGTTATACTGTTTATGTACGTCTCTTGGTTTCTTGCAGTAGTGTTTTGTAGTTTTCTTAGTATAAGTCTTTTACGTCCCCAGTTAGATTTATTCCTAAGTATTTCACCCTTTTGAGGGCTAATGTAAATGGTCCTGTTTTCCTAATGTCCTTTTTGGAGTTCTCTTTGCTAGTGTAGAGGAATCCAACTGATTTTTTTGTTGATCCTGTATACTGCCACTTTGCTGAATCCTTCTATTAGTTCCAGTACCTTTCTTGTGGAGTCTCTGACATTTTCTATGCATATAATCACATCATCTTCAAACAGAGATACTTTCACTTCTTCCTTACTAATCTGTATGCCCTTTATTTCCTTTTCTTGCCTTACTGCTCTACTGCTCTAGCTAGGACTTCCAGTACAATATTGAATAAGAGTGTGATAAAGGGCATCCTTGTCTGGTTCCTGTTCTCAAGGGGAATGCTTTCAGTCTCTCTCTGTTGAGAATAATATTAGCTGTTGGTTTGTACATATGCTCTTAATTATGTTGAGGAATTTCCCTTCTATTCCTATTTTGCTGAGTTTTTATCAGGAATGGGTGTTGGACTTTATCAAATGTCTTTTCTGCACTGATTGAGATGATCGTGTGATTCTTGTCCTTTGTTTTATTTATGTGGTGGATTACACTGATTGATTTTCTTGTTGTGGTTTTGACTTGAATTTCCCTGATGACTAACTATGTTGAGCATCTTTTCATGTGCATATTGGCCATCTGTATATCTTCTTTGGAAAACTGTCCATTCAAATCTTTCGCTCATTTTTAATTTGACTTTTTATTGTTAAGTTGTAAGAGTTCTTTACATATTTTGGATACAAGTCAGTTATCAGATACATGATTTGCAAATATTTTCTCCCATTCTGTGGGTTGTCTTCACTTTTTTATCATGTCCTTTAAAGCACAAATATTTTTAATTTAATAAAATCCAACTTACCAATCTTCTCTTTTATCACTTGTGCAATACTCTAACCCAAGATCATAAATATTTACTTCTGTGTTTTCTTCTAAGAGTTTTATAGTTTTAGCTCTTCCAGTTAGGTCTTCGATTCATTTTGAGTTAATTTTTGTGTGTGGTGTGTTCCCCGTTATATTTTTACATAAAGAGAAGAATACTATATGCATCGTTCTATACTTGCTTTTTTTACTTAATAAAGTATACTGGAGGTTGTTTCCCATAAGTACACAAAATGCTGCTTCATTTCTTTTTTACAGCTGCACAGTATAATATGGATCTACCAGAAATTTTTAACCAGTTTCCTACTGACAGATATTCAGGTCATTTCTGATTATTTGCTAGAAAACACAACTTTGCATGCAAACAACTATGTAATACATTATTTGCACCAATCTGAGGCTATCCGTAGAATAAATTTTCAGAAGTAGAACTGCAGGATAAAATGGTAGGTACAACTATAACTTTGACAGATACTGCTAAGTAACTAATCTTCATAGTGATTTCACCAATATCACTTCCACAACAACGTATGAGCGTGCTTGTTTCTCTACACCCTCGTCAATGCTATGGTAACACAATTTTTGATCTGTGACCATCTGATGGGTGAAAAGTTGTATATCAGTGTAGTTTTAATTTACAATTCATTTATTATGAGTAAGGATGAGTATCTTTCCCTGTGTTAAACAGCCATGTTTAGTTCTTTTCTGTGAACTGTTCATAAATTGCCTATATTTCTACTGGGCTGCTGGTCTTTTTCTTACTGTTTTGTGAAGTACGCTTTATGTATCAGGGAAATTAGCCCTCTGTCTTGATATGAATTAAATATATGTCTCCTGGTTTGTCACTTGTCTTTCTTTTTTAAACTTTATTTTATCGTACTTTAAGTGAAAGTTTACAATTCAAGTTAGTCTCTCATACAAAAATTTATACATACATTGTTATGTGACCCTAATTGCTCTCCCTCTACTGTGACAGCACATTCTTTCCTTCCACCC